AGAAAGAGGAGTGGGCTGCAGAGGAGAGCTGTGCACAGCTGCCCTTCCTGGCTGCAGGAAGCAGAGTGGGGGTAATGTGCTCTCTTTGCCATACTAAGGGGTGAATACTGCTCTGGGGCAGTAAATGCTGCTCTTGGGGTTGACTGAATGGCAGTGTCCTGGTGAGGCTGCAGCCTCCATTGAGTTCAGCTTTGCTCTTCTCTGCCTCTGTGTTCAGTGTGCTGGCAGTCACTTCCCCTTCTGCTGTCTCATCAATGTGTCAGCCATCAAGGCATAAAGAGATCAATATTCATTTTGCAAAATGGTTTCCAATATTGTGGTAGATTACAACGTTGCTGTGATTCAAACGCAGAGGAGGATGGGGAGATATATATAGGTGTCATTAGGGCTGATAAATGAATCAGAATGAATCTCTGGAATGTTATCAACAAAACTAATGCTAATGTCCTTCTCTGGAGGGTTATACCTCCATAAAATGTTACAAGGGGTCAAATGTTGTGGTCTTATTGCCCTTGGAGTTACCAATGCTCCCCTGTGGCTGGCTTAATGGTGTAAATGACACACTGCTCCTATTGGGGTCATCTCATTCCCACGCCTGAATGCTGAGCAGAGCAAGCACAAGTTCTTTCTAAGACTGTCTTACGGAAACCTCCATGGGAGTGTTTTACAGGTTTTTATGGGAGCTGCTTATCTCCCTCCTGGAAGCTCAACTGTGGCAAAGCCGAAGGTTCATGGCTCACCAGAGCAGGGAGCTGACAAGTCGCACACGCTGACCCCGCACTGTAACTGACAGGCTTAGTGCTGCCAAGGAGACAAGTCCCTCGAGCTCAGGTTAGAAGTACTGACCAGAAGGGGCCATGGGCAGTTCAAGTTTCCTTTGCACTGCTGAGCCTCTTAAGTAGGTGTGAATGAGAATATGCTGTACCTGGTAGTATCTGTCTGGTACAGAGAGCTCAATGCTCCTACCAGGCTCTGTGTGGTGGGACAGGAGTGACACCAAAGGGGCACCTGCTGCTCTTCTCATCTTTTGAGGTGACACTGTTTGGTTCATGTGGCTTTTGGAGTCTTGACCTGGCCAGGTCAAGAATTCATTCCTGGCAGATCTTACCCTGTCACTCTTCTCCACACTGCTAGGAATGATGCATTGTCCCTTCCGACGTGCCTGCAGGCCCTGGGCACATTGTTGAGGCTTCGCCTAGCCAGATGACATCAGCCGTCTGTGTTGTATACAGCATGAAAAAGATGAATGCACTTTCTAATAACTTTCTTGCCTTCACATTCAATGCTCAACCCATAAAGTGAGATTTGCTGTTGTCTTTGTCCTTCATTATCATTATTCATACTTATTTCAGAGTATGAAATCAGGTAATAGAAATATTTCCTGGGTTAGCCTCAGCAAATTGCATCAGATAGTTCAGCTCTGCTTGGCAACCTGTTAATACTAGGGGTAATTCCTCTGCCCTAGACAGTACGTTCTAAGTGTACCTCTGGGACATGCCGTAATGCTACATGTTAATTATTTACTATGACCAGAAAGGAACTTTGCATCATGTTCTGGGTAATAGATTTATGGTACTTCCTGCTGGGCTTTGTACTGTTGATATAGCAGGAGTAACAGCAAAGCCATTGCAACAATAGCAACCTCTCGGGGGGAAAAAAAAAAGGTAGTTCTAGAAAAAATTACATTAGGAAGAAATGACTGTTGAGAATTTATTTCTGGCTGGTCCCAAAGTATCATCACGTCCTGAGGAATAAGCCGCTAGAATAAATCTTGAATATAATGAGTTAACAATAGTAAAAAAGTGTCAGAATGTTAGGTATATTTGCATCCAGATGTCAATGTTTGTCATGAGCAGAAGTCTGTCTTTAGAGAGTTTTAATGAAGAGGAATGATGTCTTTCTCACCTTTCTTACCTGCCTAGTGTAGAGCAAAGCTCAGCTGTGAATTTGTACAGTGAAAGGATTGTAAATTAAAGGTGCATTACACTGGCTGTATAGGCAGTCACACAGTAACGTGCACTTCTCCCCACTGAAGTGTCAGAAGCATTCCAATTGGGAAAAGACAGCTCTGTGGGCTATATCAAGACTCGTTGCAACTTTGCTAAATGGACAGGAATGTGAGTGACTAGATAGCAAATCTGAAACGTGTGGTAGGACGGGGCTGGCACTTTCAGGACCAGCATGAGAAATTTACGACACTTGTCTATTACCTCCAACATCTTTCCCTAATCAGCTGCCTCTCTGTCTTGCTGAACTGGAAACACAGAGTGTATTTATTGACTCCCAACTCTGATCTGGTTATTATAAATCTCTGCCCTTTGAAGGTCACTGCCCCTCAATTATGAGAACCTGATCTTGCTGATTCCCAGAACTGCTCTACAGTTATCGATCTGTTGCACTGATTTGACAAACCTGAGTGAAACATGGAGCTAAAATTTCATCCAAATGTGAACTAGCTCCCTGAATTTCATTTCTGGAAGGAAGATTGGCTGGGCAGAGGGTAGCCCAAAGAATACTGGATAAATGTAAAATCCTTGGGAATCCCGCAGATTGAGATATCAAATAAAAGCAAGCTACTAGTCTCATTCGTTAGAAACACAGTGTTGCAGCAGGGTACAGCCTCCGGAAGGCATAAATACTTCCCTTAGGAGGTACCTGGCTCTCTTGAGGAAGGTGCAGTGTGAAAGGGCTCCTCCACTTCAGGGTAACTCCTGTTCTTGCTGTAGCCTTTGCTGAGGCCCACGTGGGTGCCCGTGTCCTGGTAGTGCTCTCTTAGCTCTGCTGCCTGGCACAGGGTGCCGCTCTCGTTGCTGGCGTGCCCTTGCGCTGCCCCAACCATGGTACCAGCTCAGCAGGTGGTAACACACATTCCTAGCAAGCATCCTGGAAGTGCCGCTGCTCAAGACAGAGATTAAGTTGAGGGAAAAGCTAATTAAAACCATGGAGCTTGGCTCAGTGACCAGTGTACTGTCAGTGTGGGAGTATGGGCAATGTTCTTTGCAGCTGCAGAGAACAGTTCCCCTGACAACAGATGCAGCCAGAAGTTAGGTGTTTCATTGTGATCTTTCAGTCCTGGTTGTATGACTGGTTGTGAGGATTGTCATGGGAGTGAAGTGTTCATTTCTTGAACTCCACCAAGATTCAGAAATAAACACGCATCCCTGGACTCTGTGGATCAGCTATGCAAAGCTACAAGTTGGTGCCAAGGAGATAGGCAAAGCAAATTCAGAAGGTAAGGGAGGACTAGCCAGCGGCTGAATGAAGGCGCACTGGCCAAAGACATAGACCGATTTATTAATTATAGTATTTTTACACTCATAAATAGTAAAGGCAGCTTATACCAATGGAAGGGTTCCCCCTCACCCTCACTTCTGGGACACCAGAGGAAGTGTGCTTGCCAGGTAGGAGCAGGGCAAGGCAGGAGGGCCAGGAGCTGCCAGAGCACCAAGTCTCTGGACTGCACAGGGCACGCAAAGGCATCAGCAGAGCAGGCTACTGAGTGTCTGGCTTCTATTCAGCCAGGGAGAGCTGCCTTTCCTGGCCCTCATGCCCAGGGACAAGGCTGGGAGGGTTGGCATTAACCATGCAGGGGAGAGTCATCGGGGAAAATCAGGCCTTCAAACAACATACAGAATTTCCTCTATGGGATACCACACTGGCATGTATTCAGCAGCTGGAACATCAATCTGAAGCAGTGGGAAATAGGCTTTTTCTGTATGGGTACACTGTACTGCTCCTTGTCTAACTGGGCACATGGTTGGAGCTGCTAATTAAAAAGTGAGGCAACTCTCAGTTGAGGATGTGGTACGCATTATAAATGTTCAGTGCCGTGGTAAACCAGTTGAAGTCAAGTTAAGTTGCATTTTCTGCGCTGGGCTGCAGAGGTAGCTGCCTTTCCAATACATCAGGATTTCCCTCAAACATGCAAACATCTGTGGAGGTTAAGTAAGTCTAAATTTGGATATTAAGAACTATGTATGATTTAGGTTACTTTGTAAAGCATTTTCTTAACACAGCTCCACCAGGTTCTTTTCTTGCCTCAGATGATCTTCTAGCCAAACCCAGGATGGGCATACTCAAGAGCCTGACAGGTCTTCAAAGATCCTGAGGATGTTTGTTGAAGTTGTTTGGTTTGGAAAAGCCACAACACTACAATGAACTGATGGCTCAGGCATTGCTGCCTCCTGCAATCCCTCTACCTGAAGATGACATTGGCTTTGACCTGTGCCCAGACCAATGCAGTCAGGCAGCTCTGTAGTTCCCCTAAATTGTATGTAGTGCCATGTACTCTCTGACTGCTCAAATCCTGGCCAGTGCCTCCAGCTACCCTGCTCAGACAGAGTGCCTAGAAACCAGGTAGCTCTGGCAAGCAAGGAGGTGATAAGGCAGGAGCACACACATCGCAGACAAGTATTCCCCATTCCCACAAAGCAGTTCACGGGGAAGGCGTGTGATCTGTGACCACTATGTTGCAGCCATCCTGGGAAGAAGGCAAGACTGGCCCTGCAGCGGTGCGTCCATGTGGGTCAGAGCCATCCCTTGCTGAGGGCAGGTTATACAGAGGTTCAGTACATATACTGGAGGAATGGAGTCAGCAGCAGCATTGTAGCATCCTCATATAAAAAAAAAAGCCCAGTAGGGTGGCATCTCCTCCCTTGCCAAAGAGAGGGACTGTGACAGGCTCATTTGTTCCAGCTGGAGGCAGCAATGACTCGATATGCTGCTGAAGCTGCAGCTCCGCTGCTTGGAAGATGTCTGCATTGCTGAGAACGAGTCCCATCCTGACAAATATGAAGGTCTTATCACAAGCACACAAGAGCCCTGTCAACTGTCAGCTGATTATCCACATGTGGACCTGAACACTTCTCCTGACCAAAGCAGGTATTCATACTTTAGTGCCGCCCTAGGGTGGCATGGAAAAATGCTTGTACTGATTGCATACTAACCAGACATCTCCATATATACACAAGCAAGGGTGGCACAGTGTGCTCCCAGCAATACTAGTATGTGTAGCCTTTGCTGTAAAGCTGTGGAGGGAGGCTCCCAAGGTCTGGCAGATAGGTAGCATTCTCATCCAGGTGAGAAAGAGGCACTGTGTCCTCCTCACTGATCTGCCGGTCAAACTCTGCCTTCAGATTTGGCCGCTGATTATCAGGAAAGGCCAGAGAGAACAAGGCTTCAGGCTCACACACAAACTTGTACACGTAGCGCTCTCCAGCCACCTGCAGGGAAGATATGAGACGAATGCTGCAGGCACACAGGCAGCTCTAGGCAATACTCAGCAGCAGAGAAGCCTTGCAAAATCATCTGGCTGCTCTAGCCCATTTCCCTGAGACATGTCAGAGTTGTAAACTTCTTGTGCTGTCCTCCTGCTTCTCTGCTGCTCTGGTGTCCCCTGGAACAGCTCCTGGGAAATGGGATGCTACCAGCTGACTCTTTGTCCAGGTAGCAACAGCATCAACAATCCCTGACCAGTCTGTACTGTGACATAATTACACTCACAGTTACCCTCTCCAGTGCCCGGTATCTGGAAGAGACCATCCCTACCACATATGACCAGCCCCCAGACAGCCTTTCTCTTATCAACAGCATGTTTGGACTGTCCTTGCACCTGCATAAATTCCAACTCTCCTGACTGCAGACATATAAAGAAAAAGAAAGAAATCATGATTCCCCTTTGGTTTTTTTCCCATATGTTGCCTAGATTCAGCTCCTTTACACCTTCCTCATTTTAACTACTGCAAAGAGAAGTTACAGAGAAAGCAAGCTCAGAATGCCTGGCTAGCTCAAGTACATTCTGCACCTGTAAGACTTCTTGTCTCAAACAAGAGAAGCATCACTAAAGGCATAAAAACTCCATCTGCTTTGCAAACTGACCTTCTGCATGATGCCTTTCTCATAATAGTAGCGAAGGGATCGGCTCAGCTTGTCATAGTTCATAGCTGGACGGTTCTTTTGGATACCCCACAGCCTGGCTACCTGTAGAATAAAGCATCAAAGAGCATGAATGTCTGTGAACCCAATCCAAGGACAAAAGAACATTATCCAGCTGTTTCTCTTTTGAGGAATGGTACCACAACACATACAAACATTTACAGCATTTAAATAATAAGACTCAAATAATAATTATTTAGGAGCTTCTCAACAGGAAGAGTAGAACTCAAAATGAAGCACCCTATATCACAGAGAGACATTCTCCTTGCCACTACAGAGCTCATTTGCTGTCACCACCTCTTGTCACTCTCCAATACTCTGAAAGCTTGAGGACTTCTTCATCCTATGCTACGTTTTATCTTCAAGGATCGCATGTTTACCAAGAGCCCAATTACAAGGGAACATTTCCATTGGAAGACCCATATGCCTTTCTTCCTCCTACTACATGATTTTCAGCTTTGTCCATGAGATTCAGAAATCTGTTGTAAGCATATGTCAGCCCACCAAAACAACTCATCTGCACTGAGAGTGCCCATAAAGGTTGATATGTAACAAGAACAGTGCTAAATCTGTCTCTGATTGGAGGAAGATATGAACAGATATTACAGACACATCTCCCAGATGTTGTCAGATATTATTGGGTTTTTTGGAACGTGCCAGCATTAGAAATTACACCTTAGCTAATGTCATTTTTATATAAAAATATATTTAGACTAGGGCATAGTTTCTTCCAGATTTTTATGAAAACTTTTGCAATCAGTAGGGTTCAGAACTCCAAATTTCAATGTCAGACTCAAGTATGGAGCATGATAAGACGGTACAAGTCACTGCAAGCTTGAGAGTGAAGTGTCTAGGGAAGTGAAGGCAGTGGGTAATTTGACTCACTGCATTGCTGAGACTCTAAATTTACAAGCAGCCTTTCTTAAACCTGACATTTGTGCCACTCAAGTGTTCTTCTAAAAACCTTGACTTGCTGCATGGTCTAGCAAGTACCACTGGCAGGCAGGAGCCTTCACAGAGTAGACGGAGGGCCACTTGGGAATTTGCAAGCTCAGAAACAGTGGCTGCTCCCCCTGAGCCTGTATAGAAGCTAAATTGTTTCACCTCTTCTGGCTCAATGAGCTTGAACTCCATCCCTCTACCAGTCCAGGCAATGAAGTGGGAATTGGTCGGATCATCCAATAAAGCTACAAGAAATTGCCAGAGCTGGAGAGATCCCCGTCTCTGGTATGGAGGTCCTTCCCGGTATCCTCCAGTTTCCTGCTTGATGTCTCCTGCTGAGAGGAACAAATAATGTGTTTCTAAGGGTAACAGTACAAAAACCTTTGCAAAAAAAAGCACATTTTGCAAATATTTACTTGGAATATTTCAGTTCATATAAAACAGAGCAGTCAATTCACCAGCAGCTCTTCCAGGAGGAGCTCTGATGAACATCACAATTAAGCTACTTGTGCTAGAAGGCCTGTTTGCTGCTAAAAAAACTCAAGAAATGGGATACCAAAAAGCCAGATATGAACTACAGCTAACACACCTGCAAGAGCACAGTGTAATGAACTATGTAGACAGTGGTCAAGTGGCTAGCAAAGATGCTGGATAACCCTATCTTACACCCAAACTGGAAGCCATTCTTTCTCTGACCTTCAAATTTTTCTGGAACAACACAGACATCCTCAGTAAAGGTCTTCATCTGCTTGTCATAACTGCAGCCTGAAAGAGAAAGCAATATACGCAGTCATAGACAAAGACAGGGTAGTACAGGAGGACAATGCAATGCAGGGAAAAGAAATCAGAGAGTTTCTTACCTAATGTATCTTCTGTATTTGAATGGCTCGGATAACTCTCAACATTTATGTACATGGAAGGACAGCCAGGAACATCTACAGAACAATTAACAAACTCATTTAATTAAAATGCACAGGAGGCAGAACGATCTTGCTCTCCAGAAGTGGATAGGTAAGTGTAGCTGTCTAACCAGTGTCCTTTTAGAGCCCTTCTGAAGGGTTAGTGGCAGACTGATAACTTTTTATGTCTCAGCCGTCACCTCACTACTTCATCTTCATCATGCTTCCAAATCATGAATTACACTAGTAAATTTTTGTGGTACTATCACATGCTTTCCTTCAGAACAGCCAGGATAGCCAGTCAGTCACCTATACACCACTCAATACAAAATCTTGGACAATAAGCTAAATTTATATGGGGCCTCTCCCTCATCTTAGTTTAAGATCACTATGCACTCTGCTACTGTTTTCACAGGTGAGAAGGCATTACATTTTTCCAGGGGTACTATGATGATGTTAATGGAGAGCAGCAGCATGTGAATGTTTGCTACAGACAGTGTCTCACAAATGTCATTTCAGATGGCTTAAGTCTCCCTGTCTTTTTCACATCATGATAGGGCAATCTCACAGGGAGTTGCGAAAACATAAAGGAAAAATAGCCCGAGTTTGAAAACAAGCAGAAAGTCTTCATGATTTCTGTACAGCATATATTGTTGCTTGGGCACTGCAGTTCATGTCTTCTGTATCTTGTGTTTTCTGAATCCTGCATTTTCTGAATCAAACCTGTTTTCCATCTGCTGCTGAAACAGAAGCTGTGACTGGGAGCTTTGGAAAGATTTACCTTACATTTCCCTGATACTCCTGTGTATAGCCACTGCTTTCAGCAGACATTTTGCTGATGCTAAGGGCAGAAGGGTACTCTGAAGCTGACAGACTGTGTATTACTACAACCGTAAACTACTCGCACAAAAAGCATTCTTCTGGGTTTGCACATTTTCTTCCCCTGTCTGGACAGAAGGACCCAGTGAAAGTGTAATATCAGCATAGCCACAGTGGTGGATTCTGTACCCTCATAGGAGCTTTTTATTTATGTATTTATTTCTGCTAAAGGAAACAATTCAAAATGTCTGTTAAAATAACAGGAAACCAGAAGTAACGTTCCCTCTAGAGGGGTGTGTTGTAATGTCAGGGTAGCAAGTCTTTGAACAGGTCTGCTGAAAAAATTAGATTTATCCCTTGTGGAAAAATAAGAGGATTACCTGATCGATATGGTATCTGGAGAGCTACTTTTGGAATTAGAAACTTTTTTCTCTTGTGATCCTCTGAAATCTCTGCGATCTGCTCTGTGTGCCCTGTTTCTATGGGAAGTAGCAGGTGGAAGTTGACACGACAAGAGACACAGAGCAGCGCACTTGCATTTAGCCAAGTCAATCCAGACCCTGCTCTGCGCTTATGCCTGTCCTTGGAATTGGCCAGTTGATTGTTAGCCACACAAGTCTCTTTAGACTGTTTCAGTTTTAGACTTTTAGATCCGTTTGTCAGAACAAAGCTGGTTTGTCTTGCGTGGTAAGCTCCGAAATGGGACATCATCCCTCTCTCTGACGTGCTGCAGCAAGTTTCCAGTGGGTTTCAGCTGCTGGCGAGAGACCTCAGCAGTGAAAGCTGACACCAACCAGCTGGGCTGGGAGAGCTGCATCTTTGCCTCCACTTTGTGAATTAAATTCTTCTGCCTCCAGTCAGGGAAAAGGCACAGGGCCGGACAGTGTTGTGAGCTGCAGCTCAGGGTTGTGTGGTGCTTTCCTCTGCCAGTGCTTGAAGGTCCCCTCCTGCTGTAGGGATCTGAGACAGTTTTTCTGTACAAGCTCCAAGATACTTGATTCCTTCCTTTCTGCTGCCATTTACAGAACATTTTCAGTATAATTTCTTCAAAGCTGACCTCACTTCTCTTCCTTTCTACAAGCTATCAGCTCACACATCCCCCTGAAAACAAAAACTCCCTGTGAAACTGGGAACACCCTTTTCTCTATTTCTGATTGTGAGAGTGGGCTAATTCATAATTATGAATTCTGTGAGTCTCTTATTCCCTTGGAAAAAATGCATGCCTTTAATCTAGTTTGAGTGGGTTTAACGTCACCTTCTAGCTCCTGTACCTAGTTAAAGCTTTCCACTGTCTACCAGAAAGTCCTTCTCAGAACATGGTACAGAAAGTGAATGTCCCAGCCTTTTCTTGGATGCAGTAAACAGAGAGAACTGTTTGTGTTTCGTGCTATGCAGCCAGTTTCCCAGACCACACGCACTCCTGAGCATGAAGTAGTACAGTTTCAAAGCCCAAAGACCACCAGTGATGGATGTTCACCCAGGACGTTGCTCACCCCTACTGATGCCTGGTTTATGCCCTCAGAAAGAGCTAGTTTTGCCTACCTGAGTCATACACATAGTCCACCTGCTCCTGCTTGATCACAACAGCTGCTGGGTACTGATGGCTGCTGCCCACCTGGCTTCCTTGCTCATAGCGTGGGTCGTGGTACTCCTGTTTGAAGCCCTGATGAGGGTACCGGAGGCAGAACTTGGACGTCTGGCACTGGTAGGCAATGGGGTCTTCCTGGGCCATGCCCTGGGAAGAGGAGAAGGAACAGCACATCTCCACAGGTGGCTGGTATGCAGAGCTAGAAGAGGGGAGAGGACATTTGATGACTGCTTTCTTGGCCCTCTGATCTCGGCCCTGGTGCAGGGCTGGCTGAGGGACAGAAACTTCCTTGGCCTCAGCTTGTTACTAGGGCTATAGGAGCTGCACACATAGCTGGGGCAAGGAAGGCACCCCAATGAAAGGTGTTTCCAGGGGCAGCTACACAGCCCATCATTCACAGAATCTGACGAGCGCAAGGTTATAGACTTCTTCAAGCCCTAGGCAGCAGTGGGCGTCCCAGGTACTTTGCATGGTGGGGATCCTGCAATTGCTGGAAGCTGAGCACTTTAATCTGGATGCTTGTAGCCCCTCCTCCCTGAATCACCAAGGAGGGCAATGCTTCTTGCCAGTGTCTGCGTCCTCCTGGCAGTAACTCGCCTGTTTTCCTTGAGGTATCCACAGCTGGAAGTGGGGTGGGATGGCCCCACAGGGGTCAGGAAGCTCCTGTCCTGTCTAGGGAACTGTTGGAGTGGTGACTGTATTGGGGTTCCTGGGTTGGGAGACTTGATTCCAATTTGTCTGGGTTGATCATAGGCACTGGGACAGTCAAACAGATATTGGAGCATTACAGTTCTCTGTAATGTGTGTAATGTGTGGCAGCACCTGGGGGAACATGTCACAGGCAGACACGCTGTCCCTCTATGCAGCCAGAAAACTCCCAGCATAAACTCCTTCCTTTCTGGTTATTGGTTGCCCCCACACATAATAGCAATAACCCTTCAAGCAGAAACCTGGAGAAGGTGTCTGTACTGAAGAAGCTGTACTGTAACTCGGGCAATAGCTGGGACTGTGGGCAATGGTGTCAGGGAGCTTCTTTTGGAAAGCAATGGGGAGAGAGAGGCACATGACAGATGTCAAGACTGCTCTCAGCATCAGGACAGCTGAGGAACAGCACTGGGGAGAAGAAAAAAGAGGTAAGCCCAGACCTACTCTACACAGGTCAGAGCTATCCCGTGCAATAAATGTTAGTCTGAGCTGGCTGCCGTGAGCTGACCCACTGGTTAATTTATATTGCAGCATGTGTGACTGCCCTTACCCAGCAGACCGACCAGATTGTTGTCATAACACTTCATTATTGGATAGTGCAGTAGCACGTCATTTCATAATAGCTCTTGTCCCTCCCCTGTGTTACCTGGTGTAAAGGCACTGCTCGCCATTGCGGTACTGGAATGGCTGCTTATGGTTGCAAGACAGTATGGGGTCCGAGGAGGGACTCTGCGGCTCCTTTTTAATCTTAGCAGGAGGACTGTGAAAAGCTACTGTGGGAGAGAAAGGAAAGATCAAGTTGACACTTTTCTTGTTTATAGAAAGATATTTTTATCAGCTGGTAAAAAGTCAGTTGAGATGCCACCACCTTGTCCTTGTTCCGCTGGCTCTGAGAGAAACGAAATACCAATACGCACAACTGTTCATTTACTGGACTGCCCTGAGCTCTGCCCTTGATTTAGTAAGGTTTGTATGATGCATCAACCATAAAAGAGCAAATCTAAGGTAGCATTAACATGGTCTGTGATAATCCTGAGCACTTTGAAAAGGATTTAGAGTGGGTATTTCCTAAGCTTTTCAGGGCTGGGACAGACATTTTCTGTTATGTCGTAAGGGGTAGCATGCACATACTCTATTTTTCAACACATAAAAGTAAGTTTTGATTTGTATCATACAAAATGCTCTTTCATTGACATACCTGGTAAGCATGTCTTGGACTTAATGAGTAGCATTACCATGTAGCACCGCATTAAGTTATAATGCACTACTATGATGACAGGTTGTAGATTTCCTGATACTGTTTGTCCTATAGGACAATAAATGTAAGGTTTTTGTAGACACAGCTACAAAAGACAAAAGCTTTCTCTGGGAAAATAGCATTGTATGTATTGCATACTGTTACAAGCTGTCACCAGGCTAACTTGCTCACAGACACCTTACACAAGTAGTGTTTTCAGAAGCATCTAACCAATTTAGATAGATAGCTAAAATCCTTTTCCAAAGGAACTGCATCAGTGTTAAAGCACAGTACAAGACAGAAGTACTTGCTTTCGCTATAGTATACCTCAAAGTTCAAAGAGCAGCTTGCACTCCTCTCAGTAGCCTCCCTTTGAAGTATCTAATTTCATTAATTGTATCAGGTTTATACTTCAGTACTTGGGAAAAAGGCCAGGCTCTTCTACTGTGATTCCTGGAAAGGAGACTGCCATGCTGGCACTCAGCAGCTACCCATATAATTTCCAGATGCAGGTTTTCTTTTGTGGAATCTCTTCTATGCTAACGGTCCAACATCCCTGAATGTGGGATAGGGGGAATTTCATAACCACTCTGCTCATCCAAAACACCACTGACAGTCCAGGAAAAAAGTAAAAAGGTTCCTTTTCATTTTCAGTGCACTGGTTGGTGGTCATGGCCTGATGCAGACGAGGAGGCATGTTTCTGGGCTGGTTGGAATTTCACAAATAACAAATATGCGTTGCAGTTTACAGCACCAGGAAGTATGATGTGAGTATTGTTACTCCTTATGCTTAATGAAATCCAGCAGAGAGCAAAACTTCCTTCACTAGTTCCTCAGAAAAGCTTATCCTGGCTGAAGGGCATAGTAAGCATCTTCTACCTTTGCCTCTGGGCTGTGCTGCTGCTGTTAGGAGGTCATTGACACTTAGGAAGGAAAGAAAAGTAACTCCAGAAAGGTACATAGGTCTAGGCATATTTTTCAAACAAGGGAAAGATCTGTCCTCCAGATCAAAACTGTACACTTTTAAATAAGCCTAGCTCCAGTCCCTTTTTGCCAGCTTACTCCCACCTCTTCAAGCTGACACGATACTGCTTACAAAGCTTGGGATGTTCAGAGCTGTGATTACAGTTTTAAGGATGGAAAGTAACATCCTTATTGTTAATACCTCATATTTTTGCTGAGTTTATTTCACAGCTGACCTGAATTGTATGTGCACCAGCCATTCTCAAGCCAGTTCTCCCTCTCATAAAGGGCTAACTGTCCCTTCAGAAAAGCTGCAGCAAGCAGCTATCAAACAGGCTGGAGAAATGGCTGCTGCCATTCATTGCTGTCTCAGCACAGGATATTAAGGCCACATTCTATTGTGAACATCCCTCCCCAAAATTAATTTTCTCAGCAAGAGGGCAAAAAAGACCCCAAGTGTGACTCCTTTTGCCTGCCTTCAGTTTCAGCCTACACTGGAAAAGTCCATCTTTACATCATGCCAGCACCCAAAGGGGTCCAAACTGTTTGACAGAATCAACATAAACAAATACATCAATAAGATACCAGAACCTTGTACTGTTTCTGGCTCCTATTCCTCGAGGACAGCTGCTCCCACAGCCAGTCCTGGCACTGCCATCAATCACAGCAGAGGGGCCTGTTCACAACAGCTCTTGGCACCGTCCAAACTGATGGCAGGTTTGAGTGCGCTGACCCAGTGTGCCTGCCCCACACCGGGGGTGGGTTCAGCATCCCAAGCATGACACTCCTGCATCTGTGCAAACACCCCAGGCCCAGGGAAGGGTCAAAAGAGAAAAGGGACTTTCTATGCTGGGGGCATCTATTCCCCTTCTGTGTGCAGCAGCTCTTTCCAATGTATGGAGTGAACAGATAACATAGAACCCATCTAAAAATGCTGACGTGTTGCCTGAGTCTCAGGGGAAAAAAAAATAAAGTTGGTCTGTCCACTACACTGGACAGTTTCAAGGAGCAAGATGTGCTAGGAGCAGCCAATTTTTTGGGGCCCCTAGTGACTGGAACAGGCTATCACGTTACAAATGGCTCATTCATTCATTCATTCAGAGTGAAACATGGGACCAGCACTCTCCTTAGTTCTAGGTCAAAAAAGGGAAGAAACAAGATATATGACCCAGAGAGCAAGCCTGGCTGTGCTGCAGGGCCAAGTCCAGGGGAAGGAGGTAGGCAACCAGTAAAAGTGCTTCATTTTAGTTTTCATGGGGAAAACTGCCCTGAGCAGAGAGGGGTATCAGAATAGGATGGGCACCAAAGTTGACTGCACCAGCTTTAAATGGACATCTCTACTCTCAGTTAGCTGCCAGACATGTATATGCCCAAGGAACAGTGAGGCATCCCCTGGTAGCCTTGACATGCCTGTCAAAAGTCAGGCTCTGGGTTCCCATGGCAGCTTGCAACACAGAGCCATCCAGAACAGTCTGTATTCCCTTCAGGTATGTAGTCTTAGCCCAGCATCAGCTTCCAAATGAAACAGTGGCATGCTGTGAGGACCAGCTGGAGCAGGCCCCGTTGCATGGCCATTGAGTGGGAGGTTCCTATACATACACTTGTACTGTGCAACGTTCATCTCCTTTGTCAGGTGAAGTGCTTTGGCTAGTTCTCCGAGCAAACTTTTGTGGTACAGTCTGTACACTTCTGTGCAAACACATGCAATCTGTTCAGTGGACAGTTCCGAAGAACAGAGATCAAGCAGGCTAGTGAGCATATCTCTTCAGAGATACCGTGCCCTTATGCTGTGGCAGGCAGCAGGCAGGACATACCACAGAGGTTGTGCTGGCAAGCAGGTGCTCAACCAGAGGCCACACAGGTGAGCAGAGCCACAAAAGGCACACAGCACCCATAATTCCATGTACAGCCCCATTTCTTTTGCTCTGGGAGGAGAAATAGCACAAATCTTACCTTTGATTGTCACAGTAATGCATTTTCTCAGTTGTTCCGGGGTGCCTAATTATTCACACATACACCAGATATACATCTGTTGAAACCACTCTGCATCAAGGACTGTGGTAGTTACCACCACACTAAGATACTTTTGCGTTGTCCAGATGTGGACAGTTAACCTGTTTTTTTTGTCACTGTCACAACAACTTAGGTATAAAATGAGCACTTTATCCTCAGCGTCTGTGTGTTGCATTTACATATTTGTTTGGTTTAAGTGTATCTTGCCCTTCTCCCCTGAGATGTCTGATTGCCCCATGCTACTTACAGTTTTCTGAATGAAAGTCAGGCACAAATTGCTCATCACTGTCTGGAACCTGAGCTGCCAGGGAGTGCAGGGAAAGGCGGGAGTGGGGAGGGTAAGGGGGTGGGGGGCAGAGAGAGAGAGAGGGGAGAATTAGATTTGGCACTTTGTATGGTATAATTTACAGTAAGGCAGAAATAAGTCTATGCAGGAAAGATTTGAGCTTTCTGTTGGAATGCGCTTTAGTGACTAAGGATAGTTTCCCTTTTGGATTAATGAATACAGTTATTCTGCCTACAAATTTACCCTTTAACAACCTGCCAGTTTCTTTCTCCCTTACCTTGGAAATATGGAGAACAGCAAGTTTTTTAGCTCAGGGTTCACAGTTTTCATTAAAAAACTTCACATGCAGAGATTTTTAAGCCTTTAGCATAGGAAAAACAACTATCAATGGATAAATTTGGAAAGGATTTGCCAAAGTGATGAGCAGAACAGGAACTATCTATGCCTTCATAATGCAATCTTTTCAGTAGCTCCAGAAGCAGCAGCTAGCTTGGCAGTAGTGGAAGAGGCTACAATTTGTAAATCATCAGAAAGAGAACATTTCAGAAGAGGGAAAAAAAAAAATATTATCCAGTAGCAGGAGAGGGAAATAGTTAATAGTGCCTTGTATCTATGTATGTGTGATTTCGCTAATGGGAAATGTAAGAGGAAGTGTTGCTGTAGTCATAGAGAACCTGACAGCAAACAGCTGCTCTTTCCCCAAAAATCAGTGCAGTAAAGCTTATTTCTAGGCATCTGCCCCATGGACAGCTTTGTTAGTACAACTCCAAGAATAAAAGCAAGTTCAAAGATATTAAAATATTTCAAAGTCCAATAAAGATATCTGAAAATCTGCAGAGGCCTCATTTACCTTGGAACGGCCTACCTCAGTAGAAAAAGATGTTGCTGAATGTGGTAAGCAGTGAAATAGTTAACAACATTAGCATCTCAGTGTTAAGAAGCTTATGTCTTAATGCCTCCTTTAGACAAACTGATGAGGCTCTTGTGTGTTTGTCCACTGACTTGAAAAGTCAGCAGCACACTTTATAAGTTGATGCCTCTTCATAATGCAGGGGTCATATTTATTCTGATTTACATGAAAGACTAGACTTTGCAAAAGTTGTAAAGCCCACATGAATAGTTTCCCACAGCATCCAAAATGGAGTCTTTCACTATGTACTTCACAGAATGTTTCATCACTTCCTGGAGTAAACACTTACTTTAATTTAAAGCTTAAAATGCCAGAACTCTTCTTCCTGTGATGCCTATGAAAGATGTAACAGTGGCTGGAGGCTGATACCTTGTGAAGACTGGCAGCTGTGCTGACCCTTATGGCATCGTTCGTGCAAATTCCTCATCTGCCTATACATAGGTGCTTGCTGTTTCTGATCTCCACCTTAGATTATTCTGTTCATGGATCACCTAGCACAATGTGGCCTTAGCCCATGTCTAAGTTGCATTGAAGCCATTGTAAAGTATATAATAAGACAATGAAATGGCACAGTGGAAGAAAAAGAATTTTATTGTCCTTCTTCACCTGCAGGTTGACTTAGCAAGGTACACAGGTTTGGCCGTAAGAGATTATTCCAACATACAAAATCAAATGTTGTAATAGTCCATAGTGCTATTATACTAAAATTCCTGTGTTGAAACAGGGTATATGTAATTAATACTTCTCTGATTTCACAGAGGAATCAGCTACACAGTCTCCTTTAGCTCCTGCTTCCCTTATTTGCTGAGAAAAGCTTTAATCAACATTGCCCTCACGCATTCAGAGGGAAAAATTCGTTCAGATTTTCCAACTGTAGATATAATTGTGCATGCTCACCCCCCTCTACAACATGGTTTGGGTCTATATTTCCTTTGCAAGAGCTATGTAAGCAAGACAGAACCGTACTCTTGTACAGCCTGCACACAGCCTAGAACATACGGTTTTGTTGAAGCACATTTCACAATCACATCCTTAAACAATAGGACACCAAAGCAAGTGATCCAATTTGGCTTTCCCCCCTGACAGCAGCATCTGTATTTATTTGCAAATACTTTTTCATTCTTCTCAAGGTAGAGCACACCATCCTCATGTCAGGAACACATTACTAATGGGAATTCAGCCAGTACTTTAACATGCAGCTATTTTTTCTCCATTACTCAGCACCTAACTCGGATATGGCCTCAGTCCACCTCCTGAGCAGTCCTCCATTACCCAGAGACAGCGACTAACGTGGTAGATTCAAGCCTGACAAAGAACTAAGCCTTTGGGTGTGCCCTGGTAGAAACTGTGGGGAGAACCTTAATCATAGCACGTGTCTTGTTAGAATATTTTATTACTTCTAACAATTACTTTTATGTCCCTTTTACTACAGGGAAGGGAGGCTTGCAGCAGACTGTTATTTCACAAAATCTCTCACAAACTATTGCTGAAAGAAATGCTGCTGCTAGTACATAACAGACAAACCTAGAGTTTTTGTGATTGCAGAGTGGAGAAAAGATTGCACTCTCTCAGCTCTAAAGCAAAGGTGATATAGTCAAAGCGAAGGGACGTGAGGAATGGAAGCCCACTAATCTCAGTCACTTGATGCTAAGCTAAACAAGACATGCCAAAAATAAACCTTAGGGAGTAACACTGTGTTAACAACAGGCAGTGGGTTAGAACAGAACTAGCCAAGCTCTTCGCACTGCAATTGCTGTTCCTTAAAATAACCTGTATGACAACAAACTGGAAATATAAATGATAAAAGGTGAGGAACAGAAAATAAAAAAGCTACAAAATTCATTTTATGAATTATCTTTGAAAAGCAACATTGTAGTAGAAGAAATAATGGGGATCACATTGTATGAGATGAATTTGGATTTCACACCCTATTGCCTTGAGGCTACTACTGTCCATCACACTGCTGACAATCTTGCTAGGAGAATTATATACTAAAAGCAATAGACCACAGTAAAGATGTGAAATGAAGGGCATGGCTGGATCGAGAGCATACAGCCGCACTGCTGGACAGTGATGATTGCAGACAGCTACAGACCTGTACTAGAAGGCTTAAAGTGCCAGCTGCCAGAAGAAAATTTAAATTTTTTATATTTATTATCTACTTCATATAGTTGCAATACAGATAGACATTTTCTTGTTCTCCCCAAACCAGCATCTATACCCAAAATAACTGGGATACCTAATCAGACATTTAAAGCCCAACCCCAGGCTTATTTTAGTCACTCAAGACTGCATGCATCAACATGTACCTCACTATCTCCCATACCGCTTTCAAGATCTGGAGCGCCATAACTAAAGCTTTCTGACTAAGGATACACAAAGTGCATCTCTCCTCCTTGCAGACAGCACAGATAACTAACTACCTGTGCAACTTCTCTCCAAGGAAGTTTTTTTGTTTCTCTGAATGCCAAATGACTTTTTATAAATTATTTGGCTTGAAATTAGTTCCATACAGTTATCAACTGGCAGCTTCACATCATCACATTCTAACAGATTCTGGTAAAAATAGTGTAGAGGAAAACTGTAGATTTTTAGTAACAAGGCCCAGGATTTTTCAGCATGTGTTTCTTTTAAGAGTCATCTATATGCAGACATTATTCTTTTAGCCTACAAAGGAGAAATCAGGTGTCAATTGACACTCTAAAAATATTCTAAAAAGCTAACAAAGAGATGCCCCCTATGAATGAAATCACATGACTATATATATTGATACCTATACACACACAAACACATATACATACACATGTATATGTGGTTTAAATTTTTTAACATTTTTCATATGACTGATTGTTTGTTGTGAATTTATATTTCCAGCCTGGTTCCTTCCTAGGTTTGTTTCTCTTTTATTTCAAAAGTAACACCAAGAACTGTAAATAATTAAATAGAATAGCTAAATATCTAAATTAAATGTGGTAGAGGCAGAGAATATATAACATATTAAATATTTTCACTTTCTTTTGTTCTTTTGCATTGTTTAGAAGGTACTGTTAAGTTTTCAGTTGCCTTCATCTTGTGAACAAATGCTAACATAGCCCTGCTCAAAATGCCATGCATATTTTCACAGTATTATTGTTAAATATTTATTAAGTACCTATATCACAGTAAACATTTTTATATTTATCAAGAGTTTATACTTGAGGATATGTTTTCAATTTTCTAGAAAATGGATCATTTGTAGTACTGGAATTAGAGCAAATTCACCATGTTTAAAACTAGTTTCACTTGGAATTAACGGGACTCCCTGGGATTTGAAGTTTTCTCTTCCTTGAAGTCAAAAGGCAAAACAATTTACACATCAGACTGAACGGTGTATAAATTCCAGGAAGGTCTCTTCAAAAAGATTAACTTCTTTTTTTTTCTCTTTTAAGATAAGAGAAGCACTTTTTTCCCCAAATTAAAAGAATAGTATGTTGTTCATATAAGAAAATACCAACATTCTGGCAACCAACAAAGATAAGTGATAAATTAGCATAAAATTGAACCAGTTACAAGTAGCCTGAAACGAAAATTGTAACCAGGAAAGTGGGCCAACCGCCAAGTTCCATTCATAAGCAAATACTCAGCGTAATAGTGTGATTCATGCGACTTCATTTACACAAGACAGAGGTTGGCAAGTCTGAAAAAAATACTTCACGTCTAGAGCTAGGCAAACAAAGCAAAGGAGCAGTACAAACATCAAAAGACAAACAACTGAAAGACGAACAAAACAAAACAGAGCAAGGAGAAGGAGCCTACCTTCTGTCAGCCAAGTCTCCTGGAACTGGCTCAAGTCCTGGAAGAGGTCTGCATGAAAAGTGAGAGGTTTCCTCAGTGGCGCGCTGGGGAGGGACAGCAGGATGCTCCAGCGGCGGCGATGCCGAGCGGAACGAGGAGATGGGGGCGGAGGCGCAGGGGGAGGACCTGTTCCCTGCCCAGAAGTCTTCAGCATCCCCATCCGTCCCTCCACCCCGCAGCCCTCCTTACCTTCCGAATCCTGCGCAGGCGGCAAGCCCGGGTCCCCGGGTCTCTTCCTAGCGCCCGTCA